TTGAGGAGGGACTCTGAAACTCCTCTACTGAGCTCCACTTTCACAGCTTTATATCCTACATAGAGGACTTGATGCAGCTGCAGAATGTGATGATGACTCCAGAAATCAAACTGCTTATTTGATGTTGGAGCAAAACCAGAATCTTCACTTATTTTGTTGCCATGAGATAATAGGCAGTAAAATGTAAATAACAGCTTAAACCAAACAAGAGAGTCACAACCATATTTTCTTGATGGTGCCATGTAGACAAACACAAGCAGGTTATGCATTTTCCAGAGCGCACCAATGGACGCTATAAGTAAACTTTAATGATCTTGTCTAATTTGAGTTGTACAATGCCAATTTGAATATATCTGATTAACAAAGTATCATGTAACTTTTAAGCCCAGAATAGGCAAACTGACAGAGAGTCCAACACACAGATAGAAAGGGGATTTTTTTTTTCCCATTCAACCTTTATTCTTACAGGTTAGTCCCATTGATCCTAGGGGACACATTTACAAGAGAGACCTGAATATAATTTATTGTTAGAGGAGTGGTATTTACACAGGAGGATTATCTGAAAGGAAGAGTGACAAAAAGCATAAGGATCTGTCAGAAACAAAGAGGCCTTCAATGATAATGTTTGTATCTTTTACAGATTTTGAAATGGAGAACAGCTTGGAGAGGAGGGTGGAGATCCTAGGTGAGTGGTGATACAGCTTTGTGGTTTGTAGGAGAGTGGCAGGGTAGATACCAGGAGAACTTATTCAATATCCAGAGATATAGTTGGTCATAGGTGATTCTGGAGGCACAGGAGGTAAGTGTTTCCAGGTAGGGCTCTTCATCCAGGTGTCTACACTGGTCCTGTTAGACCTCAGTGCTGCATTCGATACAGTTGATCACAATGATCTACTACAAAGACTTGAATATGATATTGGAATTACAGGAACAGCTCTGTCATGGAGTTCCTAAGGGTTCAGTGCTTGGACCAATACTCTTTACCTTATGCTTCCATTAGGTAAAGTTATTAAAGAACCATCCATCCAACCATTTTCTTCCACTTATCTGGGGTCGGGTCGTGGAGGTAGCAGTTTAAGTTGGAAGGCCAAGACTTCCCGCTCCCCAGCCACTTGGGCCAGCTCCTCCGGGAGAATCTCAAGGCATTCCCAGGCCAGCCGAGAAACATAGTCCCTCCAGCGTGTCCTGGGTCTTCCTCTGGGTCTCCTCCTGGTGGGACGTGTCCAGAACACCTCACCAGGGATGTGTCCAGGAGGCATCCTAACCAGATGCCTGAGCCACCTCAACTGACTCCTCTCAACATGGAGAAGCAGCGGCTCTACTCTGAGTCCCTCCCGGATGAACGAGTTTCTCACCCTATCTCTAAGGGAGGGCCTAGACATCCTGCAGAGAAAACTCATTTTGGCCGCTTGTATCCATGATCTCGTTCTTTCTTTTTAAAGAACATGGGATAAAATGTAAATGGACTGTACTTATATAGTGCCTTTCTATCTTATTTCAAGACACTCAAAGTGCTTTACACTACAATCTGTGTCCTCATTTACCCATTCATACAGCACTCTACTAGATCTCTACAAAGCTAATTGAACAAATCATTCTAAAAAGACTAATAAGTGCTTTAGATCACATTCATACACTGATGGGACACACATCAGAGGCTATAAGGGGTTCAGTGTCTTGCCCAGGGACACTTCGACATGTGACTGCTGGTGGATTCGAACCCCCAACTCTCCATTAATCTGGCCTCCAGTTTCAGTATTAAAAATCTTGGTGTTATTTTTGACCAGAACATGTATTTTATCCCGTACACTGAAAACATTACTAAAATCACCTTCTTCCATCTGTGTAATATCACTAAAATTAGAAACATCTTATCTAAAAATTATACAGAAAAACTGGTTTATGCATTTGTCACATCTAAACTGGACTATTGCAATGGTTTATTATCTGGGTGTCCAAATACTTCTTTAAAATGTCTTCAGTTGATCCAAAATGCTGCTGTCAGAGTCTTAACTGGAGTTAGTGGGAGAGATCATATCTCTCCAGTTTTAGCTTCTCTCCACTGGCTCCCAGTCAAATCCAAAATTGAATTCAAAATCTTACTTCTAACCTTCAAAGCTTTCAACAACCTAGCTCCATCTTTGATTACAGATCTTATTGTTCCATATTTTCCTAACAGAGCACTTCACTTTCAGACTGCAGACTTACTTGCGGTTCCTAGAGTTTCCAAAAGCAGAATGGGAGGAAGATCTTTCAGTTATCAGGCTCCTCTCTTGTGGAACCAACTTCCAGTTTCTTTCTGTGAGGTTGACACATTGTCCAGTTTAAGACTGGGCTTAACACTTTCCTTTTTGATAAATCGTATAAATAGGGTTGGCTTGTTATGCTGCTATAGACTTAGACTACTGGAGGACAAATTGACCTCATTTCCTTAAATGATTTGCTAAAACTGAATAGTTTTCATTTGATAGTATTTCTATCTTAACATGTGATTCTTGACCTGCCATTGTGTATCTGTTCTTCTCAAACCTAGCTGATCGAAGCAGATGGCCACTTGTCCTGAGCCTGGTTCTGCCAAAGGCTTCTTCCTCATGAGGGAGTTTTTCCTTTCCACTGTCACCTTCATACTTGCTCAAGATGAGAGTTCTGCGATGAAGTTAAATTCAAAGCAGTCTTCTCCTCAGATAAATGGTGTTAAATTATTATATTTATATATAAATGTTTCTGTTCAGTGCCCTGAGATGACTTCTGTTGTGACTTGGTGCTGTATAAATAAACTGAATTGAACCAAATTGAATTCATAAGAGACAATGACAACGAGACTCGAAAGAAGATGGGTTTTCATAAAGAGTAAAACCCAAACTGGTCTGGACTCGAGAAAACACAAGGATAAAACACAGGTTAGTAACTCAGCAGGGTCTGTTCAAAGTTACACAGAAGCTTCAATGATCCAGCGTCCAACTGCTGTCCTACAGGAGCTTAAGAGCTGCAATCCTCATCAGAACTGGATTAGGAGCAGGTGTGAGAGATTGACTCTGCCCTGCTGCTCACGAGCTGCAGAAGCCAGGTGACAGCAAAAAAACAACAGAATCTCCACAGAAAGAGCGTACATCCATGTTCTGTATTAGGCCTTTTCTCCGTCATACAAGAGTTTTTCCTGTAAATTTTTGTTACATTTAACATTCCCTGAGTGTAGAAAAACCATCACTGACATTAATTATCACAACAATACAACAAGTGCACTAATGTTTTTTTCATTATCATTTGTTCTTACAGTTTTTAAACGGGGGCTCTGTTTTTTGGGTCATTTTTGTGCTGAGACAGCATTCACACGTGTCATTTTTTTAATTTATTTTTATTCCTTTGTATTTTTATTTACTTGTTTCTGCATACTTTGTGTTTTTTTCTATTTGTATATCAAAACATTCCGCTTATTCTTAATGAGTGCTAAGACTTTTGTTTTTTTAACTTAATTTTTTTTCATATTTACCTGTTTTCTCCATGTTAATACAATGAGACCCCTTCAGTTTCATAGACAACATTTAATATATAGTTTAGCAGATTTGCTTTATTTTTTTTTCTTACAATACTTTTAGCTTTTAGCAATTTGCTTCTTTTGACTACTATTGGCTACTTTTAGATAACATTTTTTTTTACTTTTAGTTACCGTTCTGCTACTTAGAGCTTTTGGCTTGTGTTTTGCTTCACTGTATTTTAAGCAACAATTTTGCTCATTTTAGCTTTTAGCTGTAGCTTTGCTAATTTTAGCAATTATTTTGCAGAATTTAGCTTTAGAATTTGTCTTGCTACTATTAGCTATAACTTAATTTTAGCTATTGCTCTGCTCATTTTAGCTCTTGTTTTGCTCAAGTTAACCTTAATATTAGTTTTGCTACATTTAGCTACTGTGTGATTAATTTTTGACACTTGTTTTGCAAATTCCATGCACTCTTTTGTTTTTCACAACTCTTTTCCTCTTCAGGAAGTTCAGGTAGGCTTACAATCACTCAGCATTCACACTGCATTTTTTGTGAAAAGAGGCTGTTTAATAGGTAGCATTTGTTTTTTATTTTTCCGTTTCTTTATGTTGGAAAATAACTTCATTTCAGTCATTCATCCATCAGGAATAGAAACTTTGCTCCACCTTGTGGAGACAGCAGTGACTGACTTACCCTTTGAATGACAGTGCATGAAGCTCATTGTTAAGTGTGGCTCCTCCTGACCTAAATCTTAAACGTTGCTCTGACAGCAAGTCCGACCTACTTTTTTATTTACCTATTTTTGTTGACTGCACAAATTCATATAATTGTTAGTCTTGAAAAATTACAGCCATTAAGTGACTCAGGGGTAATACAAAGTATAT